GAATTGGAGGTGATATGAAATTTAGTGATTTTCATGTTATATTCATCTTATATTCTGAAATCCACAACACTTCTGGCCAAGTGTGTCGGATAAGGGATACTCAACCTGTAGTAAAAACACCACCACCACCAAAGCAGAAAAAGCCATTTGATGAAATATTCATAGTACAATACAGGTACCCTCATAACACCTCAGAGTAACTGTCTTAGAAAAACAAAACCTGTGCAATGTGTAAGTAAGTATTATGCCATTAAAATGTGCCAGTATGGTAGTGTAAATACCCATACCCCAAGGAAGTGCTCCAGTGTTTACAAAAGGAGTAGCATCATTCTAATGGATAGAAGGTGCTTACTTGATATGCACATTACCACTACAGACCAAAAAAAAAATTATGGCCTACTCAAAATTCTAAGTGAGAAGAACGTGCTACAAAGTTGTATTTATGGCCTGCATGGGTTTGGCAGATTTAGATGCTAAAAGTGTATGAAATTGGTGGTAAGTTACTTAAAGTGCTTAGTTTTTGAGGAGTGATCCTCGGGTTAGGGTATGTAGGAGAAAAGGAAATTATTTCCAGTAAAAGTAGGCCAATATAAAAGAATTTAAACAGTGGGAGTTGTCACAATTGCTTTTTGCTGCTGATTTTTTTTTGGGGGGGGGGGTACTGAAGATAACTTGCTAAGGTTGGTAGATGAATTTGGAAATGTGTGTAAAAGAAAGAAATTAAAAGTGAACATTAAGAAAGATTGGACATGGGATTGGAAGGAGGTAGTATGGAGGCTGTAAATGGGTTCAGACATCTGGTAGTGGATTTGTCAGCAGATGGGTCCATGAAAGATGAGGTGAACCATAGAATTGAGAATGGGGTAAAAAGTGGGTGGTGCATTTAGGCACCTGTGGAAACAATGTTATTCATAGAGGCAAAGGAGGATATGTATCAGAATATAGTGGTACTAACACTTAAATGGGTGTGAAACAAGCTTTAAATATTGCAGTGAAAAGAGGCTGGAAGCCTCTTTTCACTGTCAGTGTGTGGTGTGAATACAGTGGACCCCCGCATAACGATTACCTCCGAATGCGACCAATTATGTAAGTGTATTTATGTAAGTGCGTTTGTACGTGTATGTTTGGGGGTCTGAAATGGACTAATCTACTTCACAATATTTCTTATGGGAACAAATTCGGTCAGTACTGGCACCTGAACATACTTCTGGAGTGAAAAAATATCGTTAACTGGGGGTCCACTGTATTATGCAGAGAATTCATAGTTTGAAGATTAGGTGTTGGGTTACTTACAGTATTATCCAGAGGGCTGAGGTGGTGGTTTGGACAGTAGTGAGGATGGAGCAAAATAGGATGACTTGAAGGGTGTATATTATTATGATGGAGAAGTGCTAAACCTATAGGATTATACAGTGCCTGGGGGGGGGGGGATGGAAGGGACTTGGACATCCAACAGGTGTGTGGATGTGTTAGATAGGAGTGAGGCAAGTGGTGTTTTATGACTTAATGTGCTGTTGGAGAGTGAGCAAGATAACCTTTATAAAAAGGGATTCAGGGTAAACAGTTAATCAGACTTAGTCCTGGAGGTGGAAGTACAGTGCCTGCACTCTGAAGGAGGGTTGGGGATGTCACAGTTTGGTACTGCATCTGAGCTGTAGTATTGGCATGCCTCTGGCAAGACAGTGATGGAATGAGTAATGGTGAAGTCTTTTTTTGGGGTCACCTGCTTATGTGGGAGACAGCAAGTGAGGTAAAAAAAAAAAAATTCAGAATTAAGTATCAAGAAAATTAGTACAGTATGTGGTAGACGAAAAAAAGAGAGAACCAATGTGAAGGAAAACTTAATGCAATTTTTTTTATTGCATATTTTGGTGATGTCATGGACTTCATGGCTTAAGGTTTCCCATTCTTGATGATCTGTGCCCGAAGAGTTTAGCCCCCCCCCCCCTACACACACACACACACAAAACACCACCACCTTTCCTCCCCCCTCCCCCCAGTGTCCTGTGCATGGAAACTGTTTCCCTTCCTTACAAGCCTAGACTGCTTGTAGTTGTATATTCTCAGGGATGGAAGCTGAAGGTTCATAACAATGGCTTTCATTTATCTTGATTGGCAATTGGCCAAAAACGTGTACTTAGGAGAGAAGTCTTGTAGCTATGTTTGGGCTGTTCTGGACCATCGTGACTTGACACTGGTCGTTGATGGACTGAAAAGTCATCATGGGGGTTCCTTTTTTAAGTGTAGGTTTTTGGTGAAGTTTTCCAGCCCTGTTATTTTCATATTGTTTTCAAAGTTCTTTAAGTACCACTCCCTCTGAAACAATATATTTGAGGTGATTGTTAGTCATGCCTGCGGTGTCAAATGATGTAATTGTGAGAACCTACTTTTCCCAGGGATTGAACCCCTGTCATTCCTGATGAAAACTGCAAGTGTAACCACTTGGCCTGTCTGGCAGTTTATAATGACAAGACTGTAAGAACTCATCCTTTTAAATGCCTATCTGTTTCCTGTTACAATACTACACATTTCTGAAATGTGCACTTCTAGCACTAGCTGCTTGTGTTTGCTTCAGATATCTCCAGGTCTCTTGTTGCCCCTTTGCTCCCACTCCTGTGGTAAAAACAGGCTCGTGCATTTCCACTCATCCCACAACTCTAGTAAAAGTCCTCCTCTTCCCAAAGTCTTGACTATCATAAAACTAAGCTTATACTGTTTTGTTAGTTTTGCAGTCTTCTTTCCTTGTCCTATATCCACCTCTAAACCCACCTTCTTAATGTATATCATTGTAAATTCAGTCTTTGATGTACCCTCACAGGTTTAAGACTGTTCATGAATATTAAATTGAATATTGAAAAATCATCTCAAAGCTCAGCTGCTTTGTAGCTTTCATTGTTTCCATTTATGAAGCAGGATATTTAGATAGGGTAGATATTAAATTAAATTTCAGGAATATTTCCAGATTTGATGGTGAAGGACGAGGTGGGATGGGAAGAGGAAGAGGACGTGGTATGGGTCGTGGGCGTGGCAGAGGACGTGGTGGCATCCAAGGTGGCCCTGACAGCCGAGGCAAGCGAGAATTTGATCGCCAGAGTGGAATGGCCACGACTGGAGTGAAATCTGTTGATAAACGAGAAGGCTCCGGATCTTATAATTGGGGATCTGACAAGGACCAGATTGAAGAGCAGTTAAATGCAACACCCAATGCTTCTGATCTCGACACATCTGCAGAAAATGTAGAAAAGGTTTGTGATTTTGATAAATATCTTTAAAATTAATCCAAATTATTCTTAGAGTTTACTGGTTAATTCAGTATTGCTTCAACATGTTTTGCAAAGTCATTTTACTTTGTCTAATTGCTTAACCTTTGTTAGGCTCCTGAGGAGGTTGGTGCTGCTGCAGAGAATGAGGAGGTTGTCAGGGAGGATGATGGTACTAAGGAGATGACACTTGATGAATGGAAGGCCATGCAAGGTGCCCGTAACAAGCCTGCTTTCAATATTCGGCGTGCTGGTGAAGGAGAAAATCAGGCACAGTGGAAGAAGACTTACGTTCTGAAGAAAAAAGTTGAGGAAGAATCTGAAGAAGATGATGAGGATGAGGAGGAGGAAGTGCACCATGGTCGCAGGAAAGTTATTCTCGATATTGATTTTCAATTTGCTGACTCGCCTGGGCGTGGGCGTGGAAGAGGCCGTGGTCGTGGAGGTCCAGGTCGTGGAAGAGGTGGTGATCGTATGGATCGTGGAGGACGAGGGGGTGGAATGGATCGCGGTCGTGGAGAGCGTGGACGTGGTGGGCCTGGCTCCCGTGGAGGAAGAGGAACAAGCCGTCAAGAGGCACCTAAAATGGATGATGAGCGTGACTTCCCAAGTTTGGGCTAGGATTGAAAATAATCCCACTGGTGCTGCTTCTGAAGTTGGCAAACCTACTGATCTTGTTAGGTTTTGCTCTTGCTAGTCTAGTAGCACCAGTAAATTAAGGGATCCTTCGAAAGGTTAGGGATCCCTATGCGTAAGAGTTCTCCGTTGTTCCAATCTCATCAAGCATCATTCTCCTTAAACATGGCAAGTTTTCTTTCTCCATTAAGAATGCTGTTGGGGAAGGCCAGAGCATTGTGACTAGATCTCTTCATGAACTTTTTTATTCACGTTTGGTAAAAGAATTGACCAGTTCAATTTTGTCATGGAAGCTGCTGAGGCTTTTACTTCTTGTTATTCTTGTTGTGGATATTCTGGCGAGTGTAGTGCTCAAAAGATAAATTCCATTATAAAGTATTTCGTGTCAATTCTCCCAAAAGCTTTTGTTGTACATATTGATCAATTAACTGTGAAGGTGGTTGATGAGGTAGTGATGGTTATATAATGTGTACATATGTCTGAAGCCCATATTGTCTTTGGTTTTGTGTGTTGTGCTATGGCCGTCACTACCCTAGCGGAGGCTTGCCACGCTTTTTGTACTTGATACTGATTAACATATAGACCAATAAAAACAGAAATTATCAAGTTTTGTTTAATTAAACTTGAAATACTAGTAGTATTTTTGTGTTGATATGGCTAAAAAAAAAAATAAGACTGCAATGTTGGTTTAGAAAATTAGAAGTACTGTACTAGGGTAACGTGCATTTAGAGCTGTGCAATCTTTATTAAACAAACCATAGTACAAACTGGATCATGTGATAGCTTATCAGGGTATGGAGAATTGAAGGAAGTACAGTATATATAAAGTGGGAGGTGATAGTGCACTACCAAAGGTGCTTGTTCATAGTAATATGATTGTGTTAAATAATTGTAAGGTGTAAATAAAATCCACTGAGGTATTGGGAAAGTTGCCCATGTAGAAGACTTTTTCATAGTAAAGATGAAAACTAAAGAATGTGATTTTTAGTTTTTGTTAATCATATTTTTTCATGCTTATTTATTGTGGCTGCATTTTTTAATTCTGAAGCCATTTCTATGTATATACAATCTGGGAAAACTTTGCTACTGGCAGCAACTTTCTCCATGCTACTCCAAATGCAATGTCTTACCTTCTGTTTTCCATGCTGTACTACTTACTGTACTAAAGTCATTGGACATGGTACTCATGAAGTTGGAATTAAAGCCTTAAATAAATAATGAAGCTAATTACACACGGGTCTATTTTACATTCAAAACGTGATTGTTGCTGCTTTGCCATTGTAAGAAATGATCAGCCTATAATCACACTTATTAGCTATTTAGTGTGTTGTACATGTTACTTTGATTCTAATACATGATGAAAGATATTGGAGTTTGTCATTTCAGCACTTGTCAAAGATGAGTTTGCTTAATTTTATATACAGTAAATATCAGTGCTGTATGACCCATATGGGTTTAGCAAAAATTATGTGAAGTTGAGAATTCTTATGTTGATGGGCTCTTGATCTAAGGAATTGGACCTGTGCTCCAATTCCTTGAGTCAGTTTCCCCAGGCGTTGTAACCCCGTGGATACGAGTTTAGCACTATCCACAAAATTTAATGAGACATGATTGTCAAATAATATGCTTAGTGAACAGTATAATAATTTGCAAAGGGTAAATGCTAGAGGAAATTCATTTCCTGCCTATGCAAGGTTACAATAAGTTATTATTCCCCTTAAATGGCTTTATAATAGTGCAGACCCTACAGTCTAGGAACAGAATGATGGTAAGTGGCTCTTCATTAGAGGATATGGAGCTACCATTTTCTTGAATCAAACCTACTGTCTACCATGTGCTGTATAACCCCTCTGGGTTTAGCACTCCTGGGACTGTTGTAATAGTTGAGAATATTTACTTTCATGTGTGCTTCTAGTTCTTAATCCTGTAACATTTCCTTTCAAACTTATGAAGCCTGATTTGAGACCGAGCCACGGAAAAGATCCCCAAGCCATTTAATATTGTTGATGCTAGTTGCCTGCATTCCAAAGATACTGGTATCCTTCACATGAGGAATAAGTCAAGCAGAACATAAAGATGTGCGTTCTTTCAACAAAACATCACTGAGAAGATCTTGATAGGACAACACTAGCCCAAATCCCTCAAGGGAGGTGCCTTGATGCCATTGGAGGGGAAGGGGGGGATATTGGTCCAAGGATTGTACCTATCCTTTTGGATTGTACCTGATTGCTTCTCATTTCTCCAGGTTCTGTATTCCCTACAGGTTTAACCCCTATAATAATGACCCATATTGGGTTTATAGGTTACCAGTTTATCTTTTTCTTGGACTCAGGCGTTCCTATACAGAGCTATTCTTCGTCTGTCTCCACTTCCTTGGTCACTCCTTATAGCCCCCTCAAGGGAGGTTCCTTAACGCTGGTGTGATGCTCTTGATCTTGAGAATCGGATCTTCTCCGGTTGTCTGAATTAAGCCTGAATATCTTCCACCCCCTCCACACACATGTGCTGTATAATCCTATGGGTTTAGCGCTCCCCCATTATTATAATAATCACCCCTTGTGGGTCTTACTGTGAGTCGTTCAGTTCATACTAATTTAGATGGGTACCTTGATCCATGAAATTGGTGCGTGGGTTAAATAGCCAATGACACTAGTTAAGATCGCTTCCTATTCCCCACCCCTCAGGGAGGTTCCTTGATGTCAATGAGGTTCATCAAGAATGGGACACGGTTAAATCTGAATTCCTTCTTTCCCAGGTACTATATGACCCTATGGGTTTAGTGCTTTCCCCTAGCTAATTAAAATTACCATTCCAATGTGACTTGGATTTAGTGTTCCTCTTGGCTGTCAAGGGAGGTTCCCTGATACTGGTGAACAGCTCTTGATTCAGTAGTAGTAGGTTCGCCGGTCTTGTCTCGCCCGTGTCTTTTTCAGATGGTGACCCGGCGGTAGCTTTAGATAATTGGATCTGTGCTCTTCTTGGATTGCACTTAAATTACTCCCATTCTTACAAACTCTGAATGACCCCTTACTAATGTACGAAGGTACATTTCTTCTTCGGCACATCCGATTCTGTCGAGTTGCGTAACCCTTGTGGGTTTAGCGCTTAGTTTTCATTGTAATAATGTGGGAAAATGGATCACTGTCCGTCCCATTCCGTTGAGGCACTCGGTGGTGGTGGTTTGTCGTAGGAATTTGATTATCTGGAAATGTACCTGGCTGCCCTCTAGAGTCCCGGTGGGAGTAACCACAGAGGCTGCCTGTCCGTTCCGAGAAGTGGCGACCAAAGTGAGGTGACACTTGGCAGCTGTCCAATCTCCCATTTCTCTTATTGGTTGATGAGGGAGGTGCCATACTGGCTTGCTGGTTTACTGGCATGAAGGGTAACATATGGAGCGGTTTCCATGAAGCATCGGCGACAAGGGTACTCATGGACGCAGAGGGGGATATATGGTTGGTTTTGTTTCTTCTTGGCCCCTCAAGGAAGGTTCCTTGATGTTGGTGAGGGGCTCTTGCAGCCGCAGCAAGCAGCAACAAGGCTGCTCCTATATCTTGCCGTCCCCTGGGCCTATCCGAACTCCAGTGATGGCCAAATTTGCAAGTACTGCTGCAACAACATGCAAGGAACCTATAGTGACATTAAAACTGATGGTGACGACAACGAAATAGACTAAATATGACAAAAGAGGGACCGGCATTCAAGTACCAGACCTGCTGCCAGACGTGAACCAGACGAGACGTTTTCCACTACAATGAAATAACTGACCTCCATATCAACTGCACCAGTGTTTAACGGGAAGACAACATGGCAGAAAACCTGATCAACTAAATCTCCAAGGAAATGACAGGTCTGTAGGACTTTTTTCTTCAGTGCCAAACGAGGGAAAGAATTGGGCATTTAAACATGGCTGACTGGCATCCAAACAGCCGCTACTGCCAGACGTACAACTAGCGAAGTGAAATTCTCATCTTTACTGACGTTCATCTGTTGACAGTAGCATCATATCTGTACCACCATCATATCACCTGTACCAGTGCTAACGAGAGGGAAACACAGGAGACATCGTCAAATCAACAGTACAAAACTCCAAGGTTATAGGTCGGATATCCCTCAGTGCTAGTCGTGAGAAAAAGTGAATAGTTAAACAGTCAAGGTTAATGTTTTAGTAGCTGACCTATATTCAGCTAAGTAAGTAAATTTTATTCAGGTATACACAATACAGTTACATAGAATTATCATACATAGCAGCATATGTGTAGAGAACCTAGGATAACCCCAAAAAAGTCAGACAGAGTGACTTATTTCCATTGGGGTCCTTTTAC